ATAATCGAGAAGGGTTTGAAGTGTGGCATCCCTTGTTGAGGAGAACTGTGTGGTTTCCTGTATGTGGTCGTAGATTTGTGAGCGCTAGGGTCAAATCCTCAATAAACTTCTGTACGGTATATACACATGACAATCGCATGAGAAACAACCCTTTAGAGGGACATGCATACATGTGCATTGAGAGAGCCCCTTTGCATTATAGTGATAAGTGCTAGATTTGTTCTTAAAGGGGGAAACTGTAATCCACATTCCAAGATTTTATTATCCAACTTTGACAAGCCAATCATGAGCCCTTGCAAAGAGACTGTGGGTCATGGGATTTTGTTGGGTTGGATAAAAGAACAGTTGTAGATCATGGTTTTTGGAGTGAGTGGAGTGCCCTTTAGTGTCGCTTATTTTGATCCATTGGTACTAGTTCACTCCTGCTATATTTTATTTTGGTATTGTAAATGTTTCTTTGATTTTAATTTTTTTTTTTTCAGAATTTACAAATAATTTTTTTTGCTGTAAATTTTCGGAAAGGGGTATTTTTGAAAATTTCAGAACTTTAAATAACACATGTGGGACCAAGGATCCAGCCCCACATGTGGACCACGTGCACCTTAGGGACCACACCCTATTTTTGTAAAGCATAATAGTACGCCATTATTTGTGGAACAAGGGAGGCACGCCCTTTTTTAATATTTTATATTGTTGAAAATATTTTTTTTGGGTGGCCACGCCACTTTTTAAGGAAAATAAAAGGAGGGCACCCATTTTATTACGAAGTTTTTTTTTAGGGGGAGAAAGGGGGGGCACACCACTTTTTTGTGGCAAAATGCCCCACGCCATTTATTTTTTGGAAGAAAGGCATGTCCTCTTATTTTAAACTTTTTCTTTAAATTTAAACTTGATAAATTTAAAGATGGGAAATCTAATGAGATTTGATTTCCCAATATTGTGAGAAATCTAGATGACATTTATCTAAAACAATGTAATTTTGATTTCAAATTTAAAAAGGATAGAGTTTAAATTTGATGGAATTATTTTAAATAGGAGTGGATTGGGTCTAAGTGTAAGGGGATAAGGTTCCTAATCTTTCCACCCCAAATCATGATGGCTGATTTTTGGGATAGAGGGCTCTGAATAATCTCTCTACCCCACCAATTTCCTATTTATCGTTAAAGAGTGTAGCTGGAAATTAGATAAGGCAGATCCTATTCAAACTGGGAGATAAGTTTTCTTCTATATTTCTTTCTATTTTAAAGAGTTCGTACCTATTTAAAATATCAAAAAATCTTCTCTCTTCTCAAAAGATCTTTTTTGTCTCTCCCTCACGCACAAAATTATGGGGGAGACCTCTCTCTTTTTCTCACGCCACCTTCTTCTCTCCCTCATGCACCAAATAAGCTCTCTCTCTCTCATTATTGTTCCACACCATCTCTCTCTCTCTCTCTCTCTTTTAACCAAAAGAGAGGCACGCCGCCTCTCTCTCTCCCCTCTGTATTTTTATCTTGAAAGAAAAATAGAGGTGACTTATTTTAGGTTAAACGCTAGGAAAGTGTTTGCTGTATTTTTTTAAAGAAGAAGAGACATGCCCACTTAGAGAGATATCAACTCCCAAGATCAACCCTGTTTTGTTCCCATGGGGTTTGTATAAACCCTATGTTATGTTTGAGGTCTCCAAAACCCTAGAGGAAGATGGATTGCCTACCAATCTTCCTATCTTTGAATTTCCAGTAACACCTTAAGGAAGAAAAGTGCGCCATTGGTCAGGGAATCGGGTGTGGGGTGTACCAAGTGTTGATTGGGTAACTCCAAGCATCTTCTAGTAAGTCTTCCCATTAGTTTTTGTTTGTTTTCAGTTATATTTTTTATTTTTCTGTAATATTTCAGGAACTTACATTGTGTTAAAATTTGTTATAAAAGCTAGTTTAAAATTCCTGGATAGTTTCTATTTCTTTTGGCAGTAAAATAAATATCCTAGGTTATATTTAGGGTATTGTTTTAATTTTTCAGCAACATATTGTGACCCATGTAAGTAGAATTCAGGTATTTGAAATAAAAGTAAATTGTTTTTTTGAATTTAATACCTTGAGTTCCACATAGCCACACCTTTCACTATAAGCTGTGAAGAAATGCATGCCTTATCCCTTCCAAGAGCCAAATCCAGCGCTTCTTACCTCCTCACCTCAAACTGTCTTTGCAATGTCTCTTCTGTCTCACTCAATGCTGAGTCAAACTTAATATCGTCCATGAACGGCCTCCACTCTATATTATTGGTATATAATCTCCAGAAATAGACCACATTCACATCTGCAATTTCATCATCCTCCATGAACCAAGTCCCATTTACTATTTTTCCATGGATTGTGTTGGTCCTCTCCTTTCATTGGCTACCCTATGAGCGTCACCTGTGTTTCGACCCACTTGCTTTAACCATTTGACTAGGGTTTTGTGCCACCAACTTCCCTCTCCCTTCTCTATCTCTTTGTTATAATCTACCGGTAAATTGCATCTTCTATTCTCGTCTACGTAACTAGAGGAAGATGATTCCTTCATGGAGTGAAGACTAAGAGTTTCAACCTTATTTAGAATGCATCTTCCCAAACAGCCAAATGTGCTTATGTTACATTCCTTTCCATTCCTCTTGACTATTGTAAGTGTTCTCCTCATCCTATACCTGGCCCTGCCCCTCTTCCCTCAATTCTGGACACCATCACTGTGATAACTGCTATCGAAAATTGGGATTCGTCCTTTCAAAGTGAATGGGAATTCGTTCTGGGCTTGTCTTGTTGGTAAATTGCCTCCCAGTCTCCGTCGATGAGAAATCAATCAATGCCCCTCCCTGGGGCAGGTAAATCAGCCCATGTTGACTCTCGCAATGTTGAGAAGTTTGTCATGCTGGTCCCAATCATACCGCCACCTCTCTTCTCAAGTGTGAACATGCATCAAGATCTCCCCTGATAGCCATGCATCTATCTCTACTTACCTCCCACGCTATTCAATTCTCTCCAGAAATCTTCCCTTCTCATTGCTACATTAGGCACATATGCTGCTGATAGAATCCAAGTAATTCTGACTGAGATAGAGAATTTTGCAATCATCACATCGGCTACTTTAATTATTGTTTGTCCACCACACAGAAATCATCCCACCTGCTGATCCTACTGCTTCAAGGGCAAGCCAACCACATTTTATCCAACCCTTCTGAGTGCCCTATAATCCACCCACTCCAACCTAAATATCTTGAATAAGTAAGATATCTACCTTCTTTCCTCTCACAAAATCCTCCACGGGTAGCTTGCCCATAGAATCTTCAAGGCCCCTAAATTTTTCAATTTGGAATTTTTATCACTGACAAGAGAATAGCATGTTTGAAAGATTTTGTGCAAGTTTTATGGGCTTAAACCTATAGTAAATAAGGATGTGTGTATGCAATGATAAAGTACTCTTGATGGTCAAGATATAAGAAATGCGTAACTAAACATAGGAAATATTATCAAAATATACCTCTTTTTCAAGTATTTAACATTTTACCTTTTTCTACTATTCCAACTAAAAACCTTGTGTTTTTTGATGGGTATTTTGAAATCAAGTCAAAAGAGATGGGTAACTGTTAAATAGTTAATACCGTTAGTGCATTTTGAAAAACTTCCCTAAACATATAATAATGGAAGCTCTACAATGAATTGCTAGTAGCAACATGTAGTCTTTTAACTCCATCCTGGTATTTGAGTTCTGTAAATCGTAGTACTTGAATAGTGGCATCCAAAGAGGGTCCAAGTTGCTTGAAGGACATCTTTGGTAGGTCCAAGTTGCTTGAAGCAGATATTGATAGGGTCTGGAGTCTCTTCCGCTCCTTTTTTTGTCTTGGAACTTGGGGGAACTAGTCTTGTACTGAGGCAAATGCTGTTGTGCATGTGACAGTGAATTTTGGTATTAGGAGATATGTATCAGGCATTGGACAAATATGCATGTGAAAGTATCGAGCTTTATGCTCTTCTTTCCACATTATAGTACTTAAAAACATGAAAGGAAGGAAAGATCACTACTTGCAGTTGGAATTGGCAAGAAATAAATCAGGTGGAGCCCCCTGCCTGTGGAGGCTGTCTGACCTGCACATGTTATCGAAACACACTTGTGCGAGGTGAATTCTGTTGCGAATGCACTCACGAAAGAAGGAGCTAGACTCTCCTTAGCCCTTCAAGAACCTGCTACACCTTTTTGAGCCATGAGTTCTTTTGTGAAGCTTGAAAGATGTATAGCATACACAATTTTGATTCATCTCTTGTACTTAACAGTGTATAACCTAGTTTAAGTGGGTTTACTGCCTTGTCTGTGGGGCCTATTTTTTGTACATCTTTATACTTCTCAATGCGAGTAAACAATTTAAAAAAAAAAAATGGCAAGAAATACATATGGCTTTTCCTTTTTCGAACTTGTCTTGTAACTAGCAAATGTATTGGTAGTTGCAATTTTAACGTTGTATACTTTAGGTTATGTTTGCTTAAATTTTTGAACAGCCTCATTCAATAGCGAAATTCACAACAGTAGGGGATTATATGATGCAATGGATTTAAAAGCGGCTTGGAGCCACTTTCGGTGCATATAGGGAATGAGATCTTCTCGTTTTTTTCATTGTTGTTGGATCCACCAAATGGGGATATATGACCTCGTGTTAACTGCAACAATATGGTCTGATATATGTCTAATTAGGCATTAAATCTGATCCAAAAGCATTTTTTTTTATTTTGGCATTTCATATCACGGTGAATTGTTTTCTTTTAGTGAACTTGCTGCTTTTTATGATTGTGGTGATACTTAATTGGCTATTCATGTTAGGTTTATTTTTAATTCCGAATTCAGATGTTTCTAATCTCTTCCTTCCTCTGTAACATCCAGGATGTCTTTGCACTAATGGTAAAGGAGACAGAGAACTTCATTCAAGCAAGACTTGTTTCTCGTATCCAGCCACAAACAGTGAATGAAGCCTCATCTAGACGTGATTCATCCCAGAGGTTGAAGTTTCCGGAGACCAGCTGTGATATGGATCTTAGTAAACAAGCAGAAAAGGAATCCAAAAAAAGAAGAGGAAAGCAATTGGGTCCTGTCAAAACTGCAGCAGTAGAAAATTTCCCTCAAAACCAAGATAACTCATCTACAAAAACTAAAAAGAAGAACAAAGATAATCATTCATTTCAAGTATCTGGTGCAAGGAAAGATGATAAAATAAAAGAATCTGAACTGGACATAATCTCTGAAGATTGGATTGCTGAGAGAATTTTGCAGTGTTCCTCCCAGATCAAAGCACTTGAAGGTTTGTTTTATGAGGTTCAAACCATTTCAGCTTCTATGATCTTTCAGCATATTTCATCTGTCATTTTCTTCTTATCTGTGTAATTTCTTCTATCCAGCTCTGGATGATGCATATGCATTTGTAAGATCTTTAGCAATTTACCTTCTATAATCTTTCAGCATATTTCATCTGTCATTTTCTTCTTATCTCTGTAATTTCTTCTATCCAGGTCTGGATGATGAATATGCATTTATAAGATCTTTAGCAATTTACCTAAGGCCGTTGCTAGTTACTTCTTGGAGGCAAAAAAGACACACTTCCATCATGGTGAATGCTGAGAGCAGGAGACGCCTGCTTGATAGTTTACAAAGAAAGCTTGATGAGGTCATCCATTTCTCATGTTATTGTTTCCTTGTATCAAGCAGATCAACTTATGCACTTCATTGGCTTCTTCCTTCTTATATTGGAATTTGTTATTCAACAGGGTTGTTGATTTATAAGTTCTGTTTGATAGATCATTTGATGTGATCAGGGTTATTTATGCTTAAGGTTCATATGATGGTGTATTTGTTAAAAATTTGGCATCCTATTGTCATATTTGCTATAATAGCCTCTCTAAATTCATTCTTCCAGGCATACTTAGATTTTCAGCTTTATGAGAAAGGATTAGAACTGTTTGAAGATGATCATACAACTTCAGTAAGTTATTCATTTATGTTTTTAATGAGAATTTTTTGGTTGGCATCAATATGGTAATGAGCAGATCATGCTCATTTTGTTTTTTCAGTATTATTTATTTATTTGATAATTAACTTTTTTTCAGGTTGTATTGCACAAGCATCTGCTCCGGACTACAGCTACGCCCATTATGGACATGCTTCTGCATGATCTTGTAAATTACAACTTTTTTTAATACCAATTATCTTTTACGTGATATAATTCTTGGCTGTGGACCATGGAAAATGTTAAATACTTCTATGAAGTGTGTACTCTATTTGGAATTGTTAACAAAGTTTGAATGCTTTGTCCTTTCCTTTATGAGTTTCTACTTTTTGGCAGCGCAAGTTGTAGCCTTAGGCTTTTAGTCAAAGAACTAAATAAGATCTTGCTCTTTTTATTCATGAAATGGAATATCATGTTTGGATTCCTGATGACCTAATTATGACAAATCTGTTATTTGAACTTGTTGATGCAGTTGAGGTCATTTGTACACCTGATTTAATTTACAGTATTGAAATGAACATGGTTGGAAGTAGTGAGAAAAAATATAGCCTAAAAAGATACGGTTGAGAGTAATGAAAAAAGAAATAGTGACTTATGGCCAATTGAGGAGCCCTTGATAGTACAAAATGGTGAACCATGATTTGTGTAACTGATCTCAAATAGTTGGGAAAAGACACTGATGATAATGATGATTTGATTTACAGTATTGATGGATATTTGGCTCCATTTTCTTGGGTTCATGTGATCACGTGAACTGTTGCAATGCTTCATCATTTTAGGACTCTAGCTTGTCATTGATAGATTCTAAGGTTGAACTATGTATGTGTATGTTAGTGAATTGATCAAAACGAAATTGTTTGTCAGCTGTTGTGATTCTTTAATCAATTGAAGCAAAGATATTCTCTATGTTTTCATGTTGAATTAATTGTTGTTGATAAATCAACAGGTACAAAGCTGCTGTGAGTGCTTGTTGTAATATAAATAGGCTCTTTGCCATAGTACCTTCATTTCCTTTGTGTTGTTTACTAATTAGCTCACGAGGTCTCAAAATGCAAGTGCACATAGGTTGCAGAGAATGTAACCGATTCGAACTTTTTGGTTTTCTCGTATTGCACGTGAGAGCCATCCCATTTAGTTCTCCTAGTGGGTTGCCTAAAACTTTTGCTTTTGCTTGACTTGCTCAAGTACATTCATTTTGGTAATTCTGAAAGGACCTTTTTTCTCTTGTTGGAGAAACGGTGAGGGAATTGTGCTGTGATCCTTTGCAACCCATATGTTGTATTTGAGTCATGGTCCTTGTGGATAACCTGGTTTGGGGGGTAGCGAAAATCATTCATTATGCTCTTAGAAGAGAGGAGAGAGCTGGACCGAAGGAATGGAGGGTGAACTCGTTCCTTTATACTTCATGGCAATGGAGATTCCAAGGTGCAAAGTAAATAAGTGCACTTTGCTCTATGGTTAAGAGTGGTGAAACCACAATGTAACATCAGGGGTTCCAGTCAGTCACTTACTGAAACCAACCAACTCCCCCACACCCCCAAACCCCTCCGCAATCCCCCCATTCCAACCTTCCCCAAAAAAAAAAAGAGAAAGAAAGAAAGAAAGAACGACAATCCTATTAAGTCAACTGAGAACTTGGAAATGAGGGTTGATTTTTCGGTGGTCAGAAAAATGATGTCGTTTTGAGATAGATGACTCTATCGAATCCCATGTATGGTCAAACTCAAGAATTGTTCAATCTTGATTCTCACTACTGATTGATTCGAAGGGGATTATGGTGGGTTTGGGAGTGAGATGTCATTTTGGTTGTTTAAAAGGGTAACTACAAACTGATGAATTGGAGAGAGATTGGAGGCGGATCAAGGAAAAAGTTACAAAGAGGAAAGGGTTTAGAAGGTATGGTTACTGAAGGGGAATGTTGTTCTCTTCAAGCCTGTTTTTTGTTTGTTACATGGCGATTGAGAAAAACTTTCTTGCAGAAAGCCAATTGCAGTTGGTTTTCTTGAAGAGGGTTTAATGCTACATTGTTTTACCGACATGTTAGCATTGCTTGATGACAGATTGGCTTCAATGTGCTTAGTTCCTTGTTGCTGAAGTGGAAACTTTCAGGTTGGAGTGAGTGCAGAAGGTGGAATGGATATTGATGACCTTCTATGGCACAATATAAGGCTAATGTATGTTTTGACTGGCTGCATGTATTGACTTGGAGAGGGTTCTCTGTGCTGAAAGATGCTGAATTGTGCCAGGGTTCTTAGTGAAGCGGTCATGACAAGAAATTATGGTCTGATCATTTGACTAGTTTGATAAGACAAGATTGTTACATGATTTCTCATTCAGCCTTTCTAAGAAAGTTGGTTACTTCTTATGAGCCATCACAAGAATGGTAGTCTGTTCATTTAACTAATTTGTGCTGAGATCAAGAGCTGGGTGATTCAAAAATTTAATTTAATTTCTTGGATGTGGGTGTATGTTTTGTGTTTTTTATAAGGGTTTGTTTTTTAGGAATTATAATGTGGGATTATTCTCCGACACTTGGTTTTTATTTTCTTTTTGTTATTTTTTTTCTATCACTAGTTAATTTTATGGTTTCATAGGCTTGTAAAAGGTGGGAAGTCACATTATGGAATGCTGATGTTATTAGAATTAGTTTTATTTTATGAAAGAAGAGAGTTCCTCTCTTTGCTTGATTTATAGCCATATTTTTTCTCCATTATTGTTGATTTTTACTAGTTTGATGTCTCAGAAAGAGGTGGATTTAGATTCCTAGCTTTCCTTTATGCATGAAGTGGTATTAGCATGGTATGAAGATGGTTTGAGATTGCAATGGATGGTTATGGTGGTCGAAGTTGTAGGGATGCCGATCTAATCTGAATGTGCAAGGATATCTATGACTTGACGGAAAGGGTTACACAACTATTGTGTAATCGAGATTTGCAACAAAATACCTTAAAAGGAAGAGGAACCTATAGGCTTGGATCAGTGTTTTAAAAAGCGCTAGGTGGCACCTCGGCGGCCGTGGGGGTCTAGGCCGCCCAACGCCTAGACAGACGCCCAAAACCTAGGCGGCCCAGTATAAAGGAAAAATGTTAGAATTTTGATATTCTAACCATAAATGAGGAGAATTTTGATATTCTAACCACAAATATTAGAATTTTGATAATCTATCCATAATCCATATTTAATATTTCCATGAATGAAGAGAATTTTGATAGTCCATAATCCATATTTTCATAAAATGCTAAAACCAAGCATACATTGATACACACAAAAGTTAGATAGCAGAAACTAGAAACTAAAACTAAGAAAAAGAAAGTATACAGTCTAGGACTGAATCGTCAACACTCAACAGTTAACACTCAACACCAAGAGTTAAGAGTCTTCAACTTTTCTATCTTCAGTCATCATCATCATTAGACTGAGTGGGATAAGCCTCATCATATGCATTAGATTCAAGGCCATCATCATCAAACTCAGAGTCATCTCCCTCTTCAACATAACGCTCGTCCTCCTCTGTTTCTTTTGAATTTGCCCCTTCCTCCTCTTCTTCTACCTCCCTCTTACTCTGTGGAGATGAGGCCCCAGGAGTCTTGGCTGCTCTACCCTTTTCTATCTTTTTGTGCTTCCCTGAACTCAATATAATCTGCTCCCTGGTAGCCTCAGAAACATTTTTACACAGGGCAACTTTCCCTTAATGCCGGCAAGGTTTTTTTTGAACTAGTAAATACCTCCATTAGTATCATTTTCACAATAATCACATTTAATATGATTTTTGTCATTCGGATTTGGGTTATGATCATACTTCTTAGTGTTTCAAAAAGCGGTAGGCGGCACCTAGGCGGTGGGGAGGGTTCAGGCTGCCCAGTGCCTTAGCGAGCATCCAGGCGGGTGTCCAGAACCTGGGTGGCCTAGTGGAAATTTTTTTTTTTGGGTTTTTCTCTTTAAAATAGGCTCAAATGGGTTTTAGGCTTCAAATGAACCTAAAACCCACAATTTTTCACCTTTAGTATGAAAAAAATGACCCCAAAATATGCTCAACGAGGGGCATTTCCGCCCCTAGTTCAAGCGGTCACCTAGGCTGGTTCTCGGGAGCCTAAGGATATCCACTTTTTTTTGGGCACTTAGGCCTGGGCGATGCACCCAGGCCCACAGAACCGCCTTAGTGGCTGCCCAAGCGTTGGGCGGTCCGCTTTTTGAAACACTGATACTTCTAACCCGGATCACCACTTCTAGAAGAACCTGGAGAAGATATTTCCATGGAACAAGGCTCATTTTCATCCTTTTCTGGTTCTACTAAATTCAGATATTGTTTTATCTCATTCGCATAGCATCATGAACCTTTTTACAAGAAGCAACATTCCCTTTAATACCGGCAAGGTGTTTCTTGATTCAGTTAATACCCTATTGGTATTTTCTCACAAAAATTACACCTTATACAATTTTTATCGTTTAGTTTTGGGTTTTGACCATACTTCCAACCCGGATCACTTCTTCTAGCAAAACTAGAAATAGACCTATTTAAATGACAAGGATTTTGTACATGTTTGTGTTGTATTGATCTCATAAATTGGTTAATCTCCTCTCTGATAGCTTTAGAACATTTCTACAAGAAGCAACATTCCCCTTAATCCCGTCAAAATGTTTTTAAACCGGTTTATGCCCCTTTTTGTATCTTTTTCATAATAATTGCATCTTATGCAATTTTTGTCATTCGGTTTGGGGTTATATCCATATTTCCATCATGGATCTACACTTCGACTAGATCTTGAAGAAGACATCTTAAAATAAAACAAGCAATCTAAAAAATATAGTTTTGTACTTACTTTGATTGCTCAAACTTCAAACTTCCACTTGTGAGTTGTTTTCTGGCGCAAAAATATTAAAAACTATCCTCTAATAGGACTAAAAAACTCGAAAACTAAATCTAAACTTGATGGATGATGTTTGGTTCTATTTTCTGTAACTTTGAGAAACACTTCGATCCAATGAAAATCACAAAATCTAATTTTTATGAGGTTTCTCTTTCTCTAAAATGGGTTCTTGTGGGTTTAGGTTTTAAATGAACCTAAAACCCACATTTAATAGCATTGATTTTTCAAAAGAACCCCAAAAGAACCCTAAAAAAAATCCATTTCCGCCCCTGGGCGGGAGACAGGCCCTAGGCGGGGTGCTGGGCGCCTGCTTAGGCGGTCGCCCAGGGACTGCCCACCTAGGCCTGGGTGATGCGCCCAGGCCTTCTTGACTGCTTAGGCGGCTGCTTAGGCGTTGGGCGGTGCGCTTTTTGAATCACTGGCTTGGATTCAAATCATGGGGTTTTTTTTGGAGATTGGTGTGAATCTGAGCCCAAGTTTGAGTGGGGGTAGACTGATGATCTATCAAACTACATTAGATGGGTTTGATACACATGGCATCATGGGAACATAATTTGAACGAAACCAACGAGGATCCAATCTTCAATTGGATTCAATATTCTTTGAATTTGTCCTATTTTGATCGTGCGTCTATCTTTGATTGTGATCGTATTTTTGATGAAGAACCAAGTGAACTTATCTTTAATAGTGATCCTCTTTTTGGTGAACCATTGGATGAAAACGAAGAATTTTTAGTTCCTATCTATGACGAAGAACAAGTTGCAAGCGATGGTGATGATCATTGCATTGATGTTAGTGGTTGTGATGATGGTGGTGATGTAGAGGTAAAGAGGGAACTGGAGGCAGCGACTGTAAAGAGCTATTTTCTCTCACCAATGGTAGGTTGACCTTTCATGTTTCCTATTAGATGATTCCATCCCACGAAGGTAGGCTACTATAGCTTGGTGCACCAAAATCCTTATCAACTTATTTGAGGATATTGTGATTGCCTATAATCCTAGATCCCAAGGTCAAGCTCCAATGTTAATACACAATATTTGGGTTGACAGAGATCTTGTGTTTGGTCGAGGATTTGTATTAACGCATTTCAAAACTCAAGGGCGAGTTTTCTTTAACTATGGGAGAATGATGTAGATCAAGTGCTAAGTGATTCAAAAATTTAATTTAACTTTTTATTTAAAGAATGGGGGTGTATGTTGTTTTTCTATTAGGGTTATTTTTTAGGAATTATAATATGGGGTTAATCTCCTACTCTTAGTTTCTATTTTGTTTTTCTTTTTTATTTTACTATTTATTGGTTACTATTCATGGGTAGTGTTCATGGCTTACTGTTCACATTGGTATTTCTGAAATTTGTAAAATTGTTTAGAGGTATTTTAGAGCCTTAGATTGTTTACTTCAATCATAAGTTAATTTGAGGGTTTCATAGGCTTATAAAAGGTCGGATATCATATTATGAGATGCTGATTTATTTTATGAGAGAAGAAAGTTCTTTTTTTGGTTTGATTTACTAATATGTTTCTCTATTGTTGTCGATTTTTACTTATTTGAGGTTTGGGAAAAGGTGGATTTAATTTCCTACCTTTCCTTCCTGCACTAGTTTGATAAGACAGCTTTGCTACATGATTTTGGGTACATCAGCCTTTTATGAGAAAATTGGTTATTGCTAGTGTTTTGACAGTGTATGTGGGTACGTTTTGTTGATTTGTGGATTTCTACTACACTTGTATGGATCGTCTCTTGAAAGATTTGGTTCTACTAGAGCTGTCTGGTGATGCCTCTTTCATGGTTGCTTCTTTTACATGGTTTGAAGCACAAGGTGTTGCAGTCAGCCTATAGAAATTTGAAGTTACATGTGGATCATTTAATGTACTTTTCTTTTTGGGTTCAGTTTTTTAGGGGGTAGTTTAGGTGTTTAGTAGGGATCAGAACAAAGTAATAGAATAGGATAGGCTTGCTTGTTTGGTTTCTTGGAAACGTTTCGTGCATTAGTTGTTGCTCAATGACTCTCTCCTAGAGTTTCATAGTAAGGCTCACAAGCTTGATCCCTCGACAGTTTGCACAATTTTGTATGTCTTTTTTTTCTTGTAAATAGGTACCACAACACTTTTTTCTATTCTTCTGACATTTTTATTGTTTTTAACACCTTGTTGAATAGCTTCGTCAGCCAGTCAATATCAAATTCCCCCATGCACTTCCTAACCTCTATCGGGATACCATCTGGTCCTAAAGCCTTTCTTATCTTCATTTTTTTCAAAGCTTCTTTCACTTTCGTCATCCTAATCCTACAAATGTATCTATGACCTCCGCTGTCACTTGTACGAACAGTCCCTTCTACACCTATGTTCCCATTGTGTTTGTCATTTAATAATTTTAAAAAATAGACTCTCCAACTTTAGTTGACCTCGTCATCCTTTACTAAAACCTTTTGATCCTCACTCTTAATGCATTTAATGTGGTTTAGACACGTTTTCTCACTTTTTTTTCCTAATTTGAAGATATCTTTGTCACCTTCTCTTGTTCCTAGTTTATTGTATAGATTATCATATACCTTAAAGTTTGATTTACTTACTATTTGTTTAGCATTTTTCTTAGCATTTTTATTTTCTTCTATTTTTGATCGTTTCTATTACACTGCCAAGTTTGTTAACATGATCGTTTTTTGCTAATGGCATTCTGAACCTCATCATTCCACTACCTTAAATTACCTGTCAGTATATTAAAAGTAATTAAAAGTTATTCCATTTGATACTCCTTAAAGTTTGATTGTCTTGCAGGAAATTGTGTATAATAGTGCTATGAAGTTTAAATGCTTACATTTCTTTTTTCTCTTGGTTTTGTGAAATCCAATTGTTTGATGGCTATCATCTTATATTGTTAAATGGTTTCTTGTAGGATCTGCATAACAAAATGTCAATTGGTGGTGAGGTTGAAGAACATCCCAAGCCAGAGAGTACCATGATGAGTTCTGAAGAGAGGATTTCCCTTGTATGGGTCATCCTTTTCTCTTTAACCTAGCCATTACATGTAACTGGAGATATTTTATATATATGTATTGCGAGAATCTAACCAATACAACGGTTAAGGCTAGAATGAGTTGTGAAGGATGAATTTACTAAATATATTGTTTGCTTTTGCTAAAATGCTATTTTTTAAGTGTAACTAGGTCATTAAGAAATTGCACGTGTAGTTGTCTACTAAATGGCAAGGCGTATTTTTGTCATCTAAATAAAGGTCATAGTTAAAATTTTCACTAAATGACAAGGGTATTCGTACTAATAGTGTCTCAGGATAATCTCAAAATGCTATTGCACCTTTATGGAGATTTCTAATATTTTTTAAGCTACCTATAAATTTTTTTTTTCCCTTAAATAAAGACTTTTTGGCAAATGCATTGAGTGGTTGTTAACTATAGACAAACCCATGTGTGTGTGTGCACGCGCGCACGTTTGGGTTTTGATGGTTAATTTTATAGAAATTAGCTTTATTTGGAAGTGTTAGTTATCAAGTTAACCATTGAACTAAAAAAAAAAAAGTTTTGGATCACACTTCTTTGCCTGAACTTCGACTTTTTCTTAGGCAAAAAGTTTGCCTGGCTCTCTCTCAACCAAGGTTCTCCAAGCACTCGAAGCATTGGAAGGGAAGGTAACTGCTTACTCTCTCTCTCTCTCTCTCTCTCACACACACACACACAATGGGAATACTTGTTTTTTGCAAGTAATTGGCCTTGGAGAGCTTCAATTATGTTGCAGGTCCCATGATTCTTCAGTTTGTATCCCATGTTATTCCTTCTGTATTCAAAATAAAATTCTTCAACTCTTTTAATATTGCACACTGATACCTATTTGTTTGATATGTGAATCCTTGCCGATGTTTGACTGTAGAAAGGTGAGAGAAATGATGACATGTGATCATTTTCTGACTCTTTATCATATCAATTCTCAGGTGTGGTTTCACTAGTTCTAAATGAAACATCTTCTCTTTTGAATTATAGAATAGGCTTTCATTTAAGCATTGGAAGACCTCAACCTATGTTACAACAAGAAGCTTGTCCTATGGGTTTAGGATAATCCAATACACCAATTCAACGCGTACTGACATGCAGAACTCATACACTGATTCTGGAAATCCATCTTGGAATGCATGTTTTGAAAATTTCATTATTTGGATTCGCATACATGTGACGGGTATGTGGCACGTGAGTGCACAGCTTGGACAAATGAGTGGGTCCATGTTGTATGACACTTGTCTGCATTGCAAGACGTCCATTTTGTCTGACAGATGTTCACACTATTGAGCGTGTGTTTATGATATGGATATGCATGTCTTTGATTTGGGCCTACATGTTTTATTTTTATTTAGTTCATTTTATTATTAAAATGTGAGAAATCCTATATAAATATAAAATTATAGACACGTGGACATTGTACAAATATGTCTTACTGGACTTGGCAAAAGATAGGTGGGCGAGTTGGATTCTTGAATTCAAGTCGGGCATGCAGCCCCATGGCCGTGTCCTTGTAACTAAGACATCAACAATAGCATAAAAAACATCCGAACACCTCTAAATTACACTCTTGTATCTTCATTCACCTCCATTCCTGTAGCTCAAACTTGCTCCTTGTCCGACTATCTCATGCACCTATCATGGAAGTAGTCCATTTATTTCTTTTGTTTCTTTATTATGCTGGGTATCCTTCTCTAGTTTGCCAAGTTGAAGTTGCGTTTTAAGCTCATTTTCGTTCAATTGTGCTTCCTTCATTACGACTGATACTTCATAAAGGAAAAGAAACCCCACCTCATTGTAAAATATTTGAAATGGCTTTGAGGCTCTTTGTTCTCATACATACTAAATATGTTCATGTGTATACACATATACAGACACATACCTACTCGTCAATTTATCATTATAATTATATAACAAATTTAATATGCCCGCACAAGCACAATCTAATTAAATATATAGAAATATAATATATCATAATATAATAGTGTTGGAGGAATAGCACTTGGAGCTCATATCTATAGGAATTTACATATTTTCCAAACTGGACAGCAAATAACAACTTATCTTTTATGCAATCTCCCATGCAAGATACCATGTGCTTAAGAGAACTTTTTCCCTTCTTCTCCCAATGTTGGAAAACTAGGTAAACGATGCCCTCCTGCTAAAAACTTTTACTAAAATAGGGTGGCAAGGCCTACTTACATGTGTTTTCCTTGTACAAGTACAATACAAATTCCCATGTGTATGCTGCTGATTTTCGAATCAGCAATGGGACAGTTGTTAAGTGAGCTCAACCATACACGAAAACATAAAATTATAAATAATGTGATCCTTATCAAACCAGAGATCAAATGGCAGAGTCACACATCAAAGTGTTCCGGATAATAAATTGAAAACTGTAGAATATGAGTGTTGCAGAAAGAATTTCTCAACGAAAAAAAATCAAGTAATCTGTTGATTGAAAAATTAAAGAGGAAGCCTACAATTCAGGCTTCACTGGCTGGTTAAACGAGAAATAAGATATTAAAACTGAACTCTGCATTCTAAGTTCTCTACATGGGCCTCTATTTATAATAAAATGCCTTACTCAGAGCTCAAGAAATCCTAATTCTAATTGAAATATAAGCCCTAATTATAAGAAAATTCACTGTGACATTTTTACCCCTGATAAAACAAAATATTCTGCCAGCATGTTAGCTATTTCCCTAAACAACTGCTAAAATCCTTAAAATGTATATATAAAAAAACGTAGAATCCATAGAAAACTTAGAAACCCTAGAAATAAACCCTAAAATTGAAATTTAAGTATACATTCTTTGAAATTGAATAAAAATTAAAAATGAGAACAATTTTGTCCTACATCGGACTCCTTTGGTTAGAGAAAACTTAATTTCAAGTTTGAAGTACGTTAAGATGAATTTTGCACTTGTCCCACAACCTTCGTCAACCCGAACATTGTGCTTCAAATCTTGGTATCTAGGGGCTATTGGCCTAATCAAAACGCAATGATTATGCATTGATTGAAATCAACTGATGAGCACATGAGCTCTTTTTGGAACACCTTAAGGAAAGGGTTGTTGTATGTCGATAGAGTCTGTTCAGCCACATGAACTTGCTGAAGTTGCCTAAATTCTGTCCTAGATACCAAGCGTGCATCTTTGAGATGACTATTAGATTCAATGGTCTAGCCAATAACTTCACCTATTGATTCTCTTTGGAGCCCGTCATCCTTTTTTTTTTCCCCCTCCCTTTCAAAGATCTGTTCAACCACGAAATCTTGTTCATCATCATAGGACAGATCTCCTACATGATGTTGTCCTTCATTTGAGCATGTGTCAAATATTCTGTGGCGACTCCCAATCTACAACCTATTGATTTTGAAAACAACTTGATGAAAATAAATATTTCTCCATGGCAGCCTCGTTAATGTGACTAACCAAATTGTACTTACAGGCAACGAGATTACCTCTCCGCTGGTTGAGTCAAATTATGCTCGTTAAAATCAAGAATGTCCACCTTCTAAATGAAAACTATAGAGTAATGTCCCCCACATCTATGTCTTTTATCACTTTCCTCTTCACTTGACTCCTCAAGGGGAGCACAAAGGCAAAAAAGGTTGTACTCTTATCTTCTTGGGGAAAAAGATCACTGTCTTGTCTATGAGTGATGCTTGGGAGTGGTTGCACAAGCTTTTGAACCCGTCTCTTGAGATCTTTTATCTCTTCAGTGGCGTTTGATAACTTTGATACCTTTCACTACAATTTCCCTAGGAAAATCTTCCTAAATTCTGGGAAGTAGATGAAACTTGGTAGCTGAAGCTGGGGACCCTGTTTGATGATTGTGGTGCTAGTATTTTCACTTGTTTGGCATTGGGAAAGCTGCTATGTATATGATATATGTTATATATATTATCATAATATATATGATAATATATTGGGAAAAGGCTATGATGATGATGATGATCATAATATTATACGTATATTAATATTCTTATAATATATTATGAGTAATGATCCTATGAGACCCTCCCACACCCATGTGTGTAGGACCCCAAAGGATCACCATTAAATTTGGCACAGATCTTTAGAAAAGTTATTACATGGGTGTGGGCATTGACTTTTCTAGAGATCTGTGCCAAATTTAATGGTGATCCTTTCGGATCCTGCGCACATGGGTGTGGGAGGGTCTCATAAGCTCATTACTCATATATGATATATAATATTATTACCATTTATATTATAATATTGTAATGCTATATTATAGTATATTAGAAAATATTATTATATTATATAAACATAGTATATATATATATATATAATATAATAAATATAATATATTACATATAATATAATTTAAAACTATATTTATAATATAATGATATTATATTAAATATTGTAATGTTATATTATAGTATATTAGAAAATATTATTATATTATATAAACGTAATATATATAATATTAATTTATATATAATATCTTATTATATTATATCAATATAATATATTTTATATAATATAATGATATTATATATTATATTATAATATTATAATACATATTATCATGATGCCACTGTCTCAGTGTTAACTTTTACTGATGGCGTGAGTTTTGTTGAAAGTGTCTGCACGGATTCCCCAATGCAGCAACCCTTAAGGGAATAGTGAATGGGGAGAAGTTGTGTTCTGACTTTCCCCCATTTTTACTGTTCCCAAACAGGTGAAAACTATAGTAATAAGGAAAGTCAGGCACATTCACAGCTTTATGCGATTGTCAAACACCCCTTTCATTTCTGGCATTCCGAGGTAGATCTACAAGAGTACCTCTTCCTCGATCCCTTCTTGCTGCCATTGGTTCTCCAAAATCACAAATTTTAGGCAGAAAATCAGCAAATTCTAAGCTGAAATCAATGGGTTCTACGCAAAAATCAGTTAGCCCTTGGCTGAAATTATCACAGCCTGGCCTACATTCAACAAACTCTAGAGTTGATCAATGATTTCTGCCCTTGCTGACCACTAATCCCTGTGTTTGTCTGAAAACTTATGCTTTCTGATCAATGACGTAAATTAAGGCTTTTGTTTCCCTGAAATTGCATTAATTTTATGTTTCTTTACCAACAATCTGCATAAATGAGGCAGCAAAATGACCTTGAAAAATCAGCAGAAATCACACACTATTTTGAACCTAAATTGGTGAATTTTTTTTGCATCAGAGTGAAACAAAACTCAAGTCATCAAAGTTCTGAAAAACTTTGTCAGAGAGAATCTATCACACTGCAAATACGGGATTCATGTGAAGCAAAATAGAAGTGCTTGCAAATCGGCACGAAAATAAGTTGTGATTAAGCACTTTACAATGATTAGATTCTTGAAAAGTGAAGCAGCCAATAGAGCTCCAATTTCAAACTAAATTGAAGTAGAATAAGAAATAAATATCCCAAGTCTAAATATTCCATATGGGTCGATTCCAAATAGAGTAGAAATTTGATTTTGAAGCAGTTGGAGTCTCGATTTCTTGTATGTACTGATCTCGATTCCATTTGGGTCGAAGCTCGATTCCTAAAAAATAGAAATGTTTGTTTCCTACAATTTCCCTTGTATGGATATCGATTCCGAAAACATGAATCTTTTACATAGCTGCGATT